TCCCGCATCGGGCTCCCTGCTCAGCGGGGAGTCTGCTTCTCCCTCTGACCCTCCCCCCTCTCATGCTCTCTCTATCTCATTCTCTCTCTCAAATAAATAAAATAAAATCTTAAAAAAAAAAAAGAGTTATCTCAAGGAATTGGCTTCTATGACTTTGAGTGCTGGCAAGTCTGAAATGTGTAAGGCAGGCATGCAGGCTGAAAACTCTCAGGCAGGGGCTGAAACTATAATCCATAGACTGACTATGAATGTAGTCTTCTTCCTCAGGAAAACCTAGGTGTTTCTCTTAAGGCCCTTCAATTAATTGGATGATCATTGAGGATAATCTCCTTTACTCAAAGTCAACTGATTATAGAGGTTAACCACATCCACAAAACACCTCACAGCAACACCTAGATTAGTGTTTGATTGAATAACTGGGTACTATAGCCTAGCCAGGTTGACACATAAAACTAACCTCTCTGTTCCACGAAGACTGGATGAACCTCCCCCGCTCCTCCCCAGGTGGCTTTCCACCAAGAAGTTGTTGTGTTCCTTGTCCTCACTCAAGGGCTGGGTTTTTCTCTGGACACTCCCATCCAGGAAATGGAAGTATGTCACCTTCTGGGCTCAGTGAGCCTCTGCATAACCCTTCTACTCAAACTCCTGAAACACGAAGGACCTTAGACCATTTCACTTAGTTTTTCTTCAAAATTATTTTTGAATTATCTACAATTTTTTTAGTTTAAACAACTTTTTATAACCCAACAATAAAAAACAAATAATCCAATTAAAAGTGGACAAAAAGTTAGAATCAACGTGTCTTCAAAGAAGATGTACAAATGGCTAATAAGCACATGAAAAGATCCTCAACATCATTGGCCATTAAGGAAATGCACGTCAAAACCACAAGATAACACTTTTCACCTACTTAGGACAGCTATAATCAAAAAGATGGACAGTAACAACATTGGTGAGGATGCAGAAAAATTGGAACTCTCACAGGCTGCTGATGGGATTATAAAATGGTGGAGCCACTTTGGAAAATAGTTTGACAGTTCCACAAAATGTTAAACATAGAGTTACCATACAACCCAGCAATATCACACCCAAGAGAAATAAAAACATATATCCACACAAAAATTCTCACAATGTTCTTAGCAGCATTATTTATAATAGCTAAAAAGTGGAAACTACCCAAATGTCCATCAACTGATGGATAAATAAAATATGGTATATCCATACAATGGAATATTAGTTGTCAATGAAAGGGAATGAAGTACTGATTCATGCTATAACATGGGTGAACCTTGAAAACATCATGTTAAGTGAAAGAAGCCCATTACAAAAGGCCACATATTGCATGACTCCGTTTATATGAAATGTCCAGAATAGGCAAATCCATAGAGACCAGGTAGATAGTGGTTGTTGCCAGAAGTTGGGGGGAAAGGGGTTTGAGAGTGACTGCTAAAGGGTGTAGAGTTTCTCTTTGGGGTGATGAAAATGTCCTGAAATTAGATAGTGGTAATGGTTGCACAACTCTGAATATATTAGAACACTGTATTGTACACTTTAAAAGACTGAGGAGTGCCTGGGTGGTGCAGTCCATTAAGCATTCGACTCTTGGTTTCGGCTCAGGTCATGATCTCAGGGTCGTGGGATCAGGTTTTGCATTGGCTCCCACTCAGCCCTGAGTCTGCTTGAGTTTCTCTCTCTCTCTCCCTCTGCCCCTCCGGCTCATTCTCTTTCAAATAAATAAATAAATATTTAAAAATAAAATAAAATGGGGTGCCTGAGTGGCTCAGGCGTTAAGCGTCTGCCTTCGGCTCAGGTCATGATCCCAGGGTCCTGGGATCGAGCCCCGCATCGGGCTCCCTGCTCAGCGGGAAGCCTGCTTCTCCCTCTCCCACTCACCCTGCCTGTGTTCCCTCTCTCTCTGTGTATCTCTGTGTCAAATAAATAAATAAAATCTTTAAAAAAAAATTAAAAAAATAAAATACTGAATTTTATGGTATGTATGTCACTAAATGATTATTAAAAAACCTTTTACATAACTGGTTTTTACTTTTGCTCAAATTGCACCTTAATATAAATTTCAGAACTTTAAACTAGAGATAGCATGTTATTCTCATTATATTATACTCTAGAAAATGTAAGTAGCAAATTTTAATTTGATGAGCCAGTCCACTCTTCTCTAAACAATATATTGTATGAGCTGTTCATCCACTAGAGACATTTGAAATAGCAAAATGCTTTTTTTTCCTCTGCCAATGGTTCTATGCACTAGTTACAGGAGAAACCTGAAAGTTACTTGTTAGCTTGTTGGTCTCAATATATTTTAGTTGATTAAACAAACCACCTCTCAAAGCCAAGACTTTGGGAGCTGGGATTCCTGCTATGCTTTCAGAGTTTCTCACCTGTCAACCTACACTCTTTCCAATGGTCTACACAGCTCTGGAAATTAAAAGACAATCTCAGCAGTAATTGTTGTGGCTTCAAGGTCTGCGAACTCCCAGGAATTACATGCAAAATGTGATGTGTGTGTGCATTTTTTCCCTGGGCAGAGTCTATACCTCTTATCAGCTTTTCAAAGAGGACGGTCATGGACCCATATTTTAGAGACACAAGCCAGATGGGGCTGCATTTAGATTCTGTAATGGGATCTGTGGTTTTAGTTTACCATGTACCATTCCCTTTTTTCTTGACAGAGCACCCCCTCTTTGGGAGGTTGGTGGGGGTCCTCCCTCTGAATTCCACACTGCTGCTGGAGAATCTTCCGTTTTTCATCTAGTTACTAAATCCAGAGAATGTCATCTAGAACCTGTCTGCACTGCTCCCCCATTCCTCTATGGACACCAAACAGCCCTTCAGAGGGGAGCAGGGAGAGTTGGGGAGAGGGGCAGGATCCAGGTCCAGATTTCCTGAGGCCAGCTCCCTTCCTTCCTTCCTTCCTTCCTTCCATCCTTGCATCCTTCCATCCTTCCATCCTTCTATCCTTCCACACTTCCTCCTTCTCCTTCCCCTCTTTACCTCCCTTCCCTCCCTTCTTCCTTCCTTCCTTCTTTCCTTCCTTCCTTTCTTCCTCTCCTTCCTTCTCTTCCTTCCCCTCCTTACGGTCTTTCTGTCTTCCCTCCCTTCCTCCCTCCCTTCCTCCCTTGCACCGTGGGGCGCCAATTTCAGCCAGAAGGCAAGGGTGGGACATTCCAGGGACAGAAAGGCACAGGGTCAGAAACAGCGTGGTTTGGGAGAGCTGGTGCCTGGGGCTGCAGAGAGACTGTGAGCTCAGCGGCTAATAGGATTGGCCATGGCGAATCCCCCAGCAAGGCACGCACTGCACGAAGAGGCGAAGCGCCAGGGTGACTCAGGGTCAGGATTACCGAAACTCCAAAGCTAGAGGGAAGCTTAAAGAGCCAGGCTGTGCTACCAGGACTAGGGTGATGGCACTGTCCAGCCAGGCGGGAGAAGGCAGATTTAGACCCGCTCCGACCGAGGGAGGAGGACTAGACCTGCCCCTCCGCTCTGGGAATCTTAAAAAGATACCAGGCCAAGACCACCTCTGAGTCACGGATGATTTGTTATCCACTGAACTGAATGACAGGGTCCGCGGCCGAGATAAGTCGGGAAGGTTGGGGAGTGCCGGGAGAGAGGGCGATTTTCTCTGGGATCTGTTTGCCTCCTCTTTGCCTCCCCCTTCCGGCTCCCACTTGGTAGCATCTTCTTGATCCCCTTATCTCTTAAGGCGCTCAGGGAAATGCTCCGGGCAGGAGCCATCTGGGAAATGCTACCCTGGCGGGCCAGAAACCATGAGTCCTGCAGCCCCGGTAAGGAACAGGTCTCTCGGACAGGAAGAAGGGCCCAAGGCAGGGTGGGTGCCCCTCTCAAATAGGGTTTGTATCCAAGAGCCCTTCAGGCCCCCGGCAGTCCCTGTTCTCTGAATGACATCCTGGGTCTGCTCTTAGCTGGGGTGGGGTGGGGGTGGGGGTGGTTATGGGTTTGAGCTCTTCAAGGAAGCGATCCTGGAGAGGCAGACCCAGGTAGATACAGAAACGGTCTTCTTTTTCCAGTCAGGCCTCCTCCAATCATTTTGGACTATGCCCTAAAGAGATCTTTTCAACCCACAAATCAGACCACCTAACTCTTGAAACCCCTACTCCCCAAGCTCCAGCCACTATGTCATAAGAACCAAGCAAGTCTTGAGCCTGTCATCCAAGGTTTCATGTTATGTCCTTGCAAACCCTGCAGCTTCATCCCCTGCCACTCCCCATGCCCTCCCCCCACCCACCCCGCACTCTATTTCCCAAACACACTGAAATACTGGGCACACTCTGAACTTCCTAATCAGTGCTCATATGATTCTCTTAGCTCTCCCCTGGGAAACTCCTACTCAACCCACAAGAACCCTTTTTAGCTTCCTTGGGCGGCCTTCCTGAACCTCTTGGGCGGCCTTCCTGAACCTCTTGGGCAAAGTGAGACTCTTCTCTCCCGTCGTTAAATCATAGGCTGCGCTCTAATTTGTGTTTACATTTAGTCTCCCCCACCAGACTGGAAGCTGGGGAAGGAAGGAGGAAAGGCCTTGTCGGATGCTCCTTTGTGCCCTCCACTAGCACCCAGTACAGTGCTAGGCACAAACTGAGTATTGAGAAAACATGACAAAACTAGGAGCCTGGCTCCTCCTTGTAACCTTACTTTTTTTAGAGAGTGAGTTAATGATTCCTAGGAAATGTATTTCATAATAAATGAGTGCACAAATGTTTAGCAAAATAAAATTACAGGTGCAGCTTCTCACCTGTGCTCCCGGTCCGCTCAGGGTTACCACCCAGGAGAGGCCTTGTAGAGCCCAGCTCTAGGGCTGCAGACTACAAGTCCCAGCAGCCTCGTGGGCGTGCATCTCTCCCCGCCCATCCCCTCCCTGGAGGTGGGGCGGGGCCAAAGGGCGGGGCCCAGGGGTAGCCTGGCCCAGGGCGCAGCCTGGGGATTGAAATGCCCCAGGCGTTCTGGGGCACACAAAGCGCAGGCGCAGCAGCTTGGGGAGCAGCCGCCGCAGCAAGTAGCGGCCGTTTTGGCAGCAGCTTCCGCAAGAGGTGTGGACAGGTGGGTGTATCCAGGGGAGGCTGGAGAGGGAGTTTGCAACTGACCCTCTAGTCTGGCCAGTGTTAGGGCTTGGAGAAGGGAGGGAGCCGCAGGAGAAGCAGGGACAAAGTCGGGCCTTCCACTCAGGTGTGCCAGCCATTGCTTCGCAGCAACAGGTGTGAGCAGGTGGGGGAGGGGCAGAGGCACCTGCTCGCAAGTAAGTCGCCCTCAGGAACAGAGGGAACCTGGATTCCAGTCCAAGCTCCTTCACATACATGGACAAGTCATTTGCTGTCCCTCAGTTTGTCCATCTGAAAAATAGGAGGAAAGATTCTACCCATCTAATGGAGTTACGGTGGGGACAAGGTGAAGTAGCGTAGTATGTGCAGCGATTTCCGAACTTTGCTGCACATTAGAATCACCGGGGATCTTTAGAGACTACCAGTGCTCGCCTCCCAGCCCCAGACCTTCTGATCTCATTGGTATGGCGTATGACCTGGGGATCGAGAGTTTTTAAAGCTCCTACTGGTGTAATGGTTAGAAACTGGGACTGCTGGGTGTGAAGGCTGCCTGCCCTGCTTACTAATCAGGGGGATCTGCATGAGTGATTGAACTTCTCATTTTCTGGTAATAACAAGGATTTTTGTGAGGCTTCACCAAGATAAGAGATGCCAACACTGAGAAGCGTGCCTGGCACATAATGCTCAGGCAATCAGAGCTGCTTTTGAGCTATCATTTTACATACTTTGTAAATGCTTCAGGAGAGGTGCAAATGGGAGGGAGGCTTTTCTTATCATGAAAGTCCCTCATTCATTGCCATGATTTTAATATTCTGTGCTGTCAGCATTTCGAAATTCCAGGGTTTCCAACACTGTAAGCATTCCTCACCCCAGCCTCTACCTGCCTGATAGACACACTTGCACAGATCTAGAAATGGAAGACGGGCAGAATGGACAAGGTCAAGGTTATGGAGCTGAGGTTGGGATCCAGGCTCCCGACCCCCACTCCCACCCTCGCACAATGGGTGGCTGCCCTGCTAACCCCACAAGAACAGTGCTCCCATTATCCTGCTAGAGCAGAGAAGGAGGAGACAAGCAGGCTTGCCCTTGTTTGTTTGTGAACACTCCCGTAAACGTTTCCTCGGTGGCTCCCCCAGGGAGGACCAGCGAGGACAGGGCTGGGGCTTCTCTCCGGGAGCTGCTGATGAGGCCTGTGTGTCCTGTGGCTCCTCTCACAGGTTCCGCCTGACCCCATCCTGGAAAGTCCTTTTGAAGAAATGGCCCTGGTGAGGGGCGGCTGGCTGTGGAGACAGAGTGAGTGACCCTGGGCCAAATCCTTGTCTGTCTGTACCTTGTCCAGGGACAGGGGGGAGGGAAGTGGCTTGTCGGATGTGCCCAGTGAACCACTGTCCCAAGAAACAAGACCCTCGTTCCCCCTCTCCTCCTTTGTCCAAACTCTTGCTCCTGCTTGGAATGTTCTCCCTGTTCCTGACTGCCTGGTAAATGTCCCCTTCTGTGAGGAGCCTTCTCTGACTTTTCCCCTAACCCCCGCTCCAGCCTCTGCTGTAGCACCAAGCTGGGTTGGAGCTCCCCACACTGTTCCCAACGCTTCATACATACCTCCATGATAGCACTGACCCCCTACAACAGCCTTTACCTATGGGTCTTACCACATCCCTTACTGACCCCAGACTGTGAGCCGGGTTTGATGCTCTGCATATCCACAGCACCCTAGCCCAGGGCTGGCCACAGAACAAGGCTTAGAATAAAATGAAAACACCTCTGTGCTTTGGAATCTGTAAAGCCCTAAGAAGCTGCCTTATGTCTTTGCCCTTTGTGTTAAGATTTTCAATTGTAAAATGTCTGAAGGTAGGGCTCAGGCTTCCGGACCCACCTCTGGCCAGAATCGTGATCTGAATGAGAGCTATCCTGGGTTAGGAGCTCCCCAACGACCCATGACCACACTCAGTTCATTCGGTTCAGCAACCTCCGAGCCCAGGTCCTGCTGGGTGCCAGGTCCAGTATAGGGAACTGTGGGCCCCCCAGTCTGGTAGCTACACAAAAGACTGTCACACAAGTCAGAGATAAGAGATAAGATGGAGGTTCAGTGTAGGGAGAGGTCTTTGTCCTTGAAGAAACCTGGGGCTTGGCCTTGGAAGCCCCCAAGGAAGGAATCTGATTATTCATTTACCATTCAACACAGTTATGGGGTCTCTGTTATGTGTTAGGCCCAATGGGAGGCACTGGATGAGCAAGACAGAAAGAGCCCTGCCATCATTTCAGGAGGTAGATAGATAAGAAAGGGGTGGTCACAGGGCACCTGGGTGGCTCAGTTGGTTAAGCGACTGCCTTCGGCTCAGGTCATGATCCTGGAGTCCCGGGATCGAGTCCCACATCGGGCTCCCTGCTCGGCAGAGAGTCTGCTTCTCCCTCTGACCCTCTTCCCTCTCGTGCTCTCTATCTCTCATTCTCTCTCTCTCAAATAAATAAATAAAATCTTTAAAAAAAAAAAAAAAAAAGAAAGGGGTGGTCACAACACTGGGGGTTGGGGATAAGGGGATTCTGGGAGCCTGTCTAGGGCTCCTCCCCACCCCCCCCACAGCAGGCTCTGCTGTCAGCCTGCATAGCAACAGTGGAATATTGCACAGGCTCCATCCTCCGCCGCTGGAAGCGGAACTGGTTCGCCCTGTGGCTGGATGGGACCCTGGGCTACTACCGTGACGAGACGGCGCAGGACGAGGAGGACCGCGTGCTCATCCAGTTCAACATCCGCGACATAAAGATTGGCCAAGAGTGCCACGGTGAGAAGCCATTTTCCCTCTGGCATTGTGACTATGGCCATGGCCCTCCCACTGTGTCTGGTAACACCTGCATCAGGCTCTTTGCAGCTTCAGAGGGCTTCCACAGACATTGCTTCTGGGCCTCTGTCAACTCCAGCTCATGTGGGTGTGAATTAAAAAATGAGTTCCTTATTGAGTTCCTACCCTGTGCTGGGCCCGGGTCCTATGTTGGGATCACAGAGGTGAGTCCAACATAGTTCCTGCCCTCCAGCTGCCAGGAACTGGTTAAAGATGAAAAGAAATAAGGAGGATTAGAGAAGTTCAGTAACTGGCCCAGAGTCACACAGCAAATCTCCTCAGCCAAGACTCAGGCCACAATTATAACAGGGTAATTGATAGAGGTCTCTAACTAGGGCAATGGGCAATGTGGAAAGGTTGGAAGGCTCTAAAGAGTAAAGCAGAATCCCCAAAGAAATTGTGTGGGATCAGAGGAGGTTGGCAATGGCCAAGAAACAGGACCCAGAGGTCGGTTCCTATTCTTGTTTCTGGTTTATTGGGAGACCTGGGCCTGTGCTTCATGGAAAGCCCATATATGTGTGTTTGCCTTTAGATGTGCAGCCCCCAGAGGGCCGGAGCCGAGATGGCCTGCTGACCGTGAACCTACGGGAGGGCTCCCGCCTGCACTTGTGTGCAGAGACCAAGGATGATGCCATGTGAGTCCTCCAGGAGAGGATAGGGCGGAATCTTGGGGAATGTAACCAGATGCCTCCTCTTTGCTGGGCCTTCTGATTCCCAAAGGGTAGGAAGGGGGGGTAGACAAAGATTAGTCATCAGGGTGGAGGCTGGGCGGAGTGGATTTGAATGGCTGATGGTGATTGGTAGGGTACCCAGGAAAGTCCTCACACAGAATGTAATGGAACTCGGGACTGTTGAGGGAGGAGTGTGAATACCTGCCTCAGGTGTGTGGTCCCTGATCATACAGAGTCTTGTATTTAGCCGGCTCGGAGATAAGCCCTCACTTGGGGGTGATACAAAGGAAGAGACAGCTCTGTGACATCCATAAAGGACCCTCCTTCCCACTATGTTCTGAGAAGATGCCTTGGCAGGTGGCCTTCAATCTGAGGCACAGACCCTGACCCGCCAAACAGAGGCAGCCCACTATGTTTGGGACACCCAATGTCAGCCCACTATGTTGGGGACACCCAATGTCAGCCCACTATGTTGTGGGGACACCCAATGTCAGATGCAGATCCACACTGCGAGACTGGGTGTGCCTGCTTCCTCACATTCTTTCCCTTCCTACCCTCTGGCCGAGGGTCAGTCAGCCTTTGCATTGTAGAGAGTGAAAGAGACGGGGTGTGTGGGAGTGGAGGAAGCTGAGCTCTGGGCAGACAAAGCACAGAGCCGCCTTGTCCACCCCAGCCAGGTGCCATGGCAACCAACAAAGGCCCGATTGTCCAGTGTCCACTGGGCCTTCACGGGCTCTGGGGTCAGAGTGTTGGGGGACTGTGTTGGTAGGTTTGCGGTGTGGAGGTGAGCTGCAGCGAGAGAACCAGCCCAGGCGTGCCAGAATCTGAAGGCCCCGAGGAGACCACCCAAGCCCAGCTGTCTATCGTCTAGACAGGGAAACTGGAGAGGGGAAGACTGTGGGGCTAAGAGTGAATTAAGAGGCTCCAGCTCAAGTGAGGGCTCTGTCCGTGTGACTGGGGTGGGAGGGGGGGCCACCTTTGTCTACTCAAGGGAGTCATGGGGATCTCCCCCCTTTACAAGAGACTGGGTTGAGGAAGAAAGTAGGGGCCTACATGTAGGGGCCTAATCTCCCCCCTCCCTCCTCATGGTTGGTGGGTTCACTTTGCAGAGCATGGAAGACGGCACTGCTGGAGGCGAACTCCACTCCGGTGAGCCCCCATTCTCTCCTTCTCTCCTCCCCCCCGCTTCCTGCCATGGAATCATGGGTGACTCAGACTCGGTCTCCGCCTGCAGGAGTTCTTACTTCCCCTAGATGTGAGCGAATAGGTTTGTGTGGACTCCAGTGCGCTGAGTCCTGAGTGGAAAAGGACAGAAGACAGACAACTGGTGCTTGGAGGAAAGAGAAAGAAGGAGGTGGCATGTGAGCTGGGGGCAAGGAACTGCCTTTTATGGAGCACCTATTGTATGCCCGGCTTGACGCGGGTAGTCCTGGCGGCTCCTCACAGCAGTCCTTTGAGGAGGGGATGATTGTTCCTTCTCTGCAGATGATAAGATTGAGCTGCATTCATCCACACAACAAATATTTACCGAGTTCCTACTATGTGCCAGGCACCGTGCCAAAGGGCAGGGACCAGAGGTGAACTAAGTCAGGAGATGTAGGCCCTGCCCTCCTGGACTCAGCCTAGTGGGCAGCCGGGTGTGAAGCAACTAATCACAATTCATGATTCTGTTGGGGTCGTGGTAACTGCTCTGACAGAGATGTGCTGTATGCATTCAATGTGTGACCACCTTGGTGGCCTGATCCTGGTGAGAGTTCAGACAAGGCTAAGGATGAGACTTGAAGGATAAACAGAAATCGACTGGGTGAAAGGGGTGGGGTGGGGTGATGGGAACAGCTTTCCAGGCAGAGGAACTGCATGAGCAAAGGCCCTGAGAAAGGTTATGACTTTAGCAAGTTCGAGAACAGAATGAAGGCTGGGGCAGCTGGAGCTTAGGGAGGGAGAACAGGAGAGGAGGGTTGGCAGGGCCAGGCATTATGGGCTGTGTTACCGCCGTTGGTTTCTGCTAAGAATACCAGGAGGTCATTGAAAGCTTTTCAGCAGCGGGAGGAGATGAACAGATCAGACCAGATTTGTATTTTTTTAAAAAGATAGTCTGGCTGGTAGGTCGGGAATAGACAACAGAGAGTTAAGAGTAGATGCCAGGAGACCAGTTAGAAGGCTGGGACAGAGTCCTGGTGACTGGCTGGAGGTCTGGACTGAACTGAAAAGGATAAGACATATTTACAAGGTAGAGTCAATGGAGCTTAGTGATTGATGAAAGTGTGGGTTTCCGCACAGGAGCCGCCCAAAGCCCGCAGCTCGAGGGTGGCCCAGCTTGGCCCCTGTGCCTGACTCCACATTCTGTGCTTGCTCCTTCTGTCTGTGGCACGGTGGAGCCCAATCTCATCTAGAGAGAAAGTCTGCTGGGAAGCAGCAGAAAAGACCGGATTTGCATTTAGAACCCTTCCTGGGCATGCACCTGCTGAGGGCTGGGCATCGTGCTCAGTACCTTCCATTGCTTATATCATTTAATCTTCCCATAGCCTTGGTAGGGTTGGTACTTTTAGTCCCATTTTACAGATAGGGAAGCTGACGTTCAGAGAGGAAGTGACTTATCCAAAGCCTCATAGTCTTAAGTCAGTGGAAGAACCTGTACTGGAACCGAGGCCAGTGAGATTGGGAGGGAAGGGCGTTATCTGCAGAAAGAACTGCATGAGCAGAAGGTGGAGAAGTGAGGGGTGTGTGTGTGTGTGTGTGTGTGTGTGTGTGTGTGTGTGTGTGTGTGTGTGTAAGGGCCCAGAGTCTGGCCTGGCTTGATGATAATACATGGAGGGAAAGAAATGGGAGAGATGACCTCTGAGGAGCAATAAAGGGCATTAAGCAGGGAGGATTGTGGCCAGACTTTGGGGAGCCAACTCAGGCTTCTGGGTGGAGGTTGGATTAGAATCTGGGAGTGAGGAGGCTGGGGCAGCAGTCAGCAGGGTTGGCTAACTTGGCTCTGAGCTCCAAATCGTCCCCCCACAGGGCAAATCAGTCCCACCCAAAAGAGGCGGAAGGAGGTGAGGGCTGACCGTTCTGTGCTCTGTGACTCTATGAAGCTACCGTGTCCCTTCTCTGCCTGCGCACCTTCCCGCTACTCTGCTTACCACAGCTCCCTGCTCTGATGCTCTCTGCACCTCCCACTACCCTCCCTTCACACCACCCCTTTGGCCCCAGGCTTGCTCGAGTGGAATGTGTTTGTGCTTCTGTCTCTGTACCAGGGTCTGCCTGGCTCTGAGTGTTCATGCCTGTGTGTGGCTTCTCTCCGTCCTGTGCCTGTGTAGGAGTGACCTGCACTTTGTCCCTCCACGTCCTGCAGATTTATACCCCCTTCTGGATGGAGGCTGTTCCAGGGAACACGGGGCCAGGGACACAGCCAGGGGCAAGGCTGGGAGGCCAGTGAAGGGGGCAGGTGGGTGGGAGGGCAGATCAGAACTGTTCTGTCCTCCCTGGAGACTGGGAGCCTCAGCAGCCTAAAAGAGGTGAAGGTGGGCTAATTCTGGAGAGACACTACTGATCCTTCTCCGTGTGACTTTGGCAAAGTCACTACCCCCTCTGAGCCTCCCTCCATTACCGCGGGCTGAGGAGGGGGACAACTCTTTCCCATGCCCAGCTGGCAGAGGGCTCTGGTAGGGCCTGTCAAAAGCTCTGAGTTTCTCCAGATGTAGAGGGCCTCTGACACCTCCCTCCCTCCCTCCCTCCCCCTTCTTGGGTTTCTGTGGCTTGAGCAGGCCCCAGCTGGAGCCACCGTCCCTCCCAGGAGCCGCCGAGTTTGCCCCAAGGTCAGGTGTGTGACCCGCTCATGGAGCCCCTGTAAGGTTGAAAGGCGGATCTGGGTAAGTGGGGCTCAGCCCTCCCTGCCTCCGTTCTGGCCTCGAGGCTGTGCCTCCAAAACTGGGCCCAGTCACATCCCTTCCCTGCTCACAAACATTCCATGGCTCCCTGTCACCCACAGGACACCACCCATAGCCCCATTTTCAAGGCCCTCAGGATCTGGCCTGGGCCAGTCTCGTCTGCCACATCCCCCTCCTCCCCTGCGCTCCCGGTGCTTGCTGTTTGCTCTGTTCCCAGCTGCACCAGACCTCTTCCCTCTTCCCAGGCTTTGCACGTGCCATTCTCTCTGTTGCGAAAACTCTTAGTCTCCTGATTCACCTGACAAACTGATGCTTAGCCCTTAAGAGCCACTTCAAAGGCTGCCCCCTCCTCAGGGAGGACTTCCCAGACCTCCACTCCCAGCCTGCTGCACTAATGCTTAGTATTGTCTTATTAGGCTTGGTCTCAAGTCCCTTTATTTCGGTCTCTATTCTCCTAGGAGACCTGGGACTTCCTCCAAGGTAACGACCAGGTCTGATCAGCTCTGCCCCTAAGGTGCCTAGCACAGTGCTGGGTATACAGCAGGTGCTCAATGAGTGCTCAGTGATAAGGACAGTCTGTTTTGATCCCTTATTCCTGGTGCATCGAGCTAGGGCACAAGTGGGTCTCAGGCAGTGTTTGTTCACCAAATGAGCGGATGAGTGAATGACTAAAGGGAGGAAGGAGGAGTGAAAACTCTCTGTTAATGGCGTCACTACCATGTGTCATAATTTAGTCCATATCTGTCTCCCTTCCCCACCTCAGAATCTCTGGGAAGCAGAAGTGGGGGGATGAATCCTCTCTCTGTCCCCAGTAATCAGCAGGGCATGGGGTCGGTGCAGGGCAGGCTTGTCTCAGAATGCCTGTCCTCTTATAGCCAACTCGGAACTCCTTCTCTGGCACCGTGGTATTCAATGTGGTTCTGCCTTTGAATCACTTCAGGACTTAAAAAAAACAAAATCCAAACATTCAGATCCTACCTCTGGATGCTGTAATTCTGTAGGTCTGGAGTGTGGCCTTGGAAATCTGTGGTTAAAAAAAAAACTTATTCAGGGGCGCCTGGATGGCTCAGTCGTTGAGCATCTGCCTTCGGCTCAGGTCATGATCTCAGGGTCCTGGGATTGAGCCCCGCAACGGGCTCCCTGCTCGGCGGGTGGCCTGCTTCTCCCTCTCCCACTCCCCCTGCTTGTGTTCCCTCTCTCGCTGTGTCTCTCTCTGTCAAATAGGGGAATGAAATCTTTAAAAAATACCAAAAAAAAAAAAAAAAAACCCCACAGAAACTTATTCAGGTAATTCTGATGTGCAGAACCACTGAACCCAGAAGTGCCAGGCCCACCTAGGTCCAGTTGCATAGATGTGGCTCAACTGGATTCTCATTGTGCCTTAGAATGCGCATTGTAGGAAAGACTGTTCCCATTTGCAGATGTGAAAACTGAGGTTCTGAGAGGTGATATAACTTGACCAGGTCACTTGATTCATCAGTGGCAGGACTAGGACTTCTATCCCAGCATTCTGAGTCCTCCCTCTTGCCCAAATGAGGATATAAGTTTCTTTAAAGTGGAGATGCCTAAAAATGGGATTTAAAAAGCTGTAAGCCAAGTAACAACAGCTTTTCTGAGGGAAGGGATCTATTTGTATGTGACCTCCTGATTGGGTGACCCTGTGCTTGCAAAAGGGGCTGGGCTTGCAGAGAGGGAGAGGATCCGAAATCAAGCCCTTAGGTTCTATCCATGAGGTCTCTGGAGGATCCCCTGCCCTGTTGCCAGGTGACCCACATGAGTTTACCTCTGGGCCTCCCAGACCAGAGGGTAGAAACAGGTGCCACAAGGGGTATGAGGTGGTATTTTCCACTCTCTCTCAGGCCCGACAGGGCCACTGGCTCACTGTGCAGCTGCTGGGCAGGTGCAGGCTCTAGACCTCAAGTTCTCTACAAATAAAAGTGGGGATCTGAGTGCTTGGCTCTCTCTAGGCCCTTCTAGGCATGGAGCTCAGTTCCTGGCCACCCTCCACCAGAAAGCCTGATTGGATCACCTTTAGGGGAGAGCACAGTGAGGGAAATCACTTGAGACTGAGCATTGCTTGTCTGAGCCTCCTGCATTACCCTGGGACTGGTCATTGTCCCTAACTTGAGGTTGGACTTAGAGCTGGGTGACTCACTGGTATTTGACTCACTTGAGATAAATTCAATCCATTAGGCACCTATCATGTTCCATTGAGGCCTAATTAGACCCCACTTCATGGGGTGGGGGTCTCCAAGTCTGATGGGAGAGATACACACTCACAGGGATACGAACAACGACACTATAGGGTGATTGGTGCTGTGATAAGGGGAGTCTGAGGGCCCCAGATGGGACCCCATCAGAACCTGAGGTTCAGGGAGGGTGATACTTGGGTTCAGTCTGAAAGATAAATTAGGTAGTTTGATGAAAAATGGGGAGAAAGGCAACCCCATCAAGGAGAAATGGCATGGAGATTTGAAATCACAGGTGTCCTTGGAGAAAAATCCTTTTATAGCCAAAAATCCCCTTTATAGCCAAACTTTTTTTTTTTATTTTATTCATTTGAGAGAGAGAGAGCACGAGTGGGGGTGGGCAGAGGGAGAGAGACGAGCAGACTCCCTGCTGAGCGGGGAACCTGATGTGGGGCTCCATCCCAGGACCCCAAGATCATGACCTGAGCCCAAGTCGGATGCTTCGACTGAGCCACCCAGGCGCCCCCTACAGCCGAACTTCTTGAAAGAGATGTCATGACATGTTGATTCCATCCTTCACCTCTCAATCATTCTTCAGCTCTCCATGGTCTGGATTCTTACCTCAACCACTCCTCTGAAAAATGTTTTTTCAAGGTCACCCACAACTTCCAAGTTGCCAAAACCAATGGCTTATTCTCTTGGCACTGGCCAAAAAGATGGACAGAAGAGCATATTTAGAAGTTAAAATCATGAGACCTGCCTGGTAGCTGATGGGATGTGGAAGACAAGTGTGTGAAGTCAAGGTGTGCCAACCTGATGTCTTGGTTTGAGTGCATGGTGGTGGCATTTAGAGAAAAGCATTTATAGAAGAGCAAGTTTGGGAGATGGAAGGGTGATGACATCATTTTGAGATTGGAGTTTAAGACACCTGGACTTCTAAAGGGAGTTGGACCATTCACGTGTGACACCCAGTTAGAGATATAAAGTGGGGGGGGGTGGCTAAGAAGAAGGGGCCAGGAGAGAAGGGATCCTGCCCCCTCTCCAGGTCTGCTCCCCCGTGGATAAAATGAGGGGCTTGGATTAGGAGCTTCCATTTAATTCAGCATATATTTATTGGTTCTTGCTCTTCATTAGGCCTTGCATGTAACAGAAATTAATCAGAGTCCTTGCTTATAAGTAGCTCACATTTGGGGTGCAGGCAGGAAAGGCCAGGAAGAAAGATAGGAACAAAAGGCACATGCAGAGTCCGTAGAGAACTCAGGAAAAAAGGATTTTTTCTGAAACCAGAAGGGCTTCCTGGAGTGGGTGACTTTTGAGTTAGGCTTTGAGGGGTTGATAAAATTCTAATGGAGAGACTGCATGCCTCCCTCCCAGAGACAGCAATGACCATTCTTCTCTGAGCCCCCGTCCCCAGTTCTGTGGTAATGTGACGGTAATGTCTGCAGTAATGACTAGAGGAAGTAACACAATATGGACACTTCCCTCAGGACCTGGTACATGATGGATGCTCGATAATACTTTACTTTCCCTCCCTACCCTTCCTTTCCTTTCCTTCCTCCCCAACCTGCTTTTACTTCTGGGCCTGGGGCTTGGCCAGGTGCCCCACCCCATGACTAGGAGAATAGAGAAATCCATTGGATTTCTCCAAATGGGACCGTTGGAGTGGCCAGCAAATACTAGACTGTGTAGGGAAGTTGGGAGCCATGGAGAATTTTTGATCAGGGGAGTCCTAGCTCGGAGGCCAGGGCAGGAAAATGGGATCACCGGGAGCTGGATGTAGGGGCTAAGGTTTTAGAGGACAAGGACCATGGACCATGTGGGGAGGCAGGGCCTTTTTCCAGGAGCTTGCTGGTTCCTAGAGAACCATTTCAAAACTTGGGGAAGTGGTTTTGTGGGCCCAGAAGAACCTAAGCCGGGTGTGTTGGGTAGGAGACCAAACCTGGGCCAGAGAGTTCCCGGGCAGCTAACCCAGTGGAGCTCCCCAGGTGCGTGTCTACAGCCCGTACCAGGACTACTATGAGGTGGTACCCCCCAACGCGCACGAAGCCACATATATCCGCAGCTACTACGGACCGCCCTACGCAGGTAAGTCTCCCGCCTGGTCCGCCCCCAGCCCCTGTCCAGCGCCAGGCCCTACTCTTGTAGTGACCACGGATTTTCCCAGGCGGGACCCTCCACTGAGCCCTCCCCATCCGGAGACTCTTACACCAGCGGCCCTCCACGTTCTATAGAGCTGACCTCTCCTCTCAAGGCCGGCCCCTTTTCACTGGCTGTCCTACAATACCGTTTCTGAGCTGGTGGCGACCCCTGGTGGCTAAATGCGGGAACGGCCACCTCCTCCCGCCCCAAGGGCTGGCGGTTGGGAACGCCCATCCTCTGGTGTGGCCTGGAGGTTCTTAGAGATCCCGGAGTTTCCGCGCTGTTGCACCCTAGATCCACAGCCCCAGAACGTCCATAGCAGATTCAAACTTGTAAGCCCTGGGGAGAGAGTGCAAGTCCTTCCCGCATCAAGGCCTCAGTTTCTCCAACTGAGGTGTAGGAGAGTGGGCTCAGCCCCTTGTCCTGGGGTTGGGCATGAGTCTAGGGGAGGAGAGGGAGGAAGATCTCTCTGCTCTCAAGTCCCCAGCCCTCATGGCTCTCTCCACAGGCCCCGGCGTGACACACGTGGTAGTGCGGGAGGATCCCTGCTACAGTGCTGGCGCTCCACTGGCTATGGGCATGCTTGCCGGGGCTGCCACAGGTGCAGCACTGGGCTCACTCATGTGGTCGCCCTGCTGGTTCTGAGCCCTGGGACTCGGAGCGTGGACCCTGTGCATAGACCAACAGACCCCTGTTCTTACTTGACCCGGCCCTCCACTATCTAAGCCCTGCCGTACTTTGGCTCCTTCTCCATTAGCCGCTTCCGGACTTGGATCATCCATTCCACTCCCCCACCCTCTATACTGGAAGAAGCTATCATCCCAGGCACAAACATAGTCAAAATCCTCATATTTACTACCAGACACCCCAGAATTTTGTTATAGACATATATGGACACGTTTCCCCCAAATATACCAGGACACAGAAAACACAGCTCAATGTGACTTAAAGTTCCCCTGTGCTGGAGACACAGGAGTCAGGTTCTTTCCTCCAGCTGCTCCAGGGTTGGTGGGAAAAACGGAAGTAAACAAACACTTGACAAGGCAGAGTTATCCGTCCTTTGACACATGAGGGTAAAGAGCAGAAGAAGGTAGGCTAGGGGTAGGGTTGTTGGCAAGAGTGCAGAGCGGTGAATATCATGGCATGTCCAAGGAATTAAGAGTTCATTTAGGCTGGGGTGAGGACTGGGATCAGATCATGATGGCCCTCCAGGCTAAAGAGCTTGCTGGGTAAAGGCGAGATGTGAGCTTTTTGGAAGGAAGTTTCATGAATGTGCCTATAATGAATATATTGCCTGTTTTGTTAATACTGACACATGCTCAAATCCAAAACACTCTCTGAAGTTAGCCCCATCCTTTCCACTACCACCTTCCTGGGTGCCCTGTTTGTTCAGTGCTCAGAAAACATCTGTTCCCCATGTTAGGGTGCCTGGGGCAGCAACTGAGCTGAACCTGGGGTCCCCTTGCTGGGGGACAGATGAGCTCTGTTTGAGACCTCCAGCCCTAGGATGGTGCCTCCATCAGGAAATGCATTCCTGGTTCCCAGGAACTTGGACCTCTGTCCATAACTATGGCTGTCACCATCTTGGGCTTTGTCTCTTCCTTCACTCTGGGGGAGATGGCAGTGTTCACCTCTCGGGCCTGATCCACTGGGAAGCCCCACATGTGCCTCCCTGTCGGGTGGCCCAGCAGTCTCTCCATTTGGCTCCCTTCCAATTTCTTTTCCCATCCTGTCCTAATAGAAATGCTAACATTCCGACCCAGTAGCCAGAGTAGCTAAAGTTCCCTTGTAGGCAGGGGCTCCAGTGGCCCTGCTGCAGAGACTAATAAAGATGTGATTGGCTCTAGCCCTGGCTCTGGCTTTTTTGTCTACCCCACCCCCACCTCCACCCCCGCCCCATGGGCCTTATTTCCCTGCGACATCTCAGTGACTCAGCACCTACTAGTGCCTTCTTTGGTGTAGTGGGAAGAGTGTGTGGATTCTGAGGGCAAGTAGAACTGGTGACATCATGTTAACTGAGCAATTTGGGGGCAACTCACTTAACCTTTCTGGGTCTTGCTTTTCCCACCCATAAGGTGATGGGTTGAAGGTGGCCATCCCTGAGGGCTCAAAGGGAGAGGCTGTATCAGGGTCTCTGTCATCTGATCTGATGGGTGATCCAGGTTGTGCCTTGTCTGCTGAGGGTCTGATGGTGTAGAGGTCTTTTCCAGTAGATTCCCATCCTCCTAGAGGTGAATCAATGAGTTAGTCTCATAGAAAGCAGGTGTCTAGGGAAGGAAACACAACCATCTTGCACCAGGCCTTTTGAGGCTGCAAGTAGCAGAAACCCCCTGCTCAAATGGATTTAAGCCAAAGAAGGGAAAGCACTGGGTTATATAACTGAGAAGTCCAGAGACTTTGATGCAGGGATTCAAACAGTGTCCCTTAGACTTTGTTTTCAAGTTTGGGGCATCGTTGCCAGAAGTAGGATGGATAGATGAGAACGAAGTGGCAAAAACATAGGGTGTCTGCCCCAGCCATATCCCCAGAGACACCAACTTAGAGGGAGACATAAACACCAATGATTCAATGAGGTAAGGTAAGTGAGGAACATGGTACAGTGGGAGCTCTGAGGAGAGGTATCCAACTCTGCCAAGGAAATGGGAAAGCTCTGGGACAGGAAGTAGAAATTTAGGATGAGCCTTGAAGGATGAGTAGGAGTTTGCCAAGCAGGGAAGGGAAGGAGAGCTTTCCACACAGAAAGAACACATGGAAGAAATGGTATGAGCAATGGCCTTAGAAGACTTTGGTCTTGAGTACACTGTGAAGTTCAGTCTGATGTCACAGCAGATTGCATGGTGAGGAGGGATGGTAGATGAGGCCATATTATAGAGAACCTCCCACAGCTGGGTTAAGGGCTCTTTGAGCCCCTACAACTTCAGGGCTACCATTTATCATAATCCTAACGAGACCCTGGTTCTTTCCACTCACCCCCACTGAACGGGGCAAGACAAATACAAATGGATGCTTCAGATGCAGTTTGCTTCAAAATCTCTCCACTAATAGGATCATAGCATGATTTTTTAATCTTCCAGCTATCCAGTAGACAATTATTAAATTATTCACACAAAAATTAAGACAAACATTCTCAGAAAACACAGTCTGACCTAGAGGTAGCTTATGGATCACATCTGGCTCACATATTCTTTTGTTTGGTCAACACAGTGTTTTTAAGAAGTTTTGAATTAAAATGTGATACTACTACATGCCCACCTAAATAGCTAAAGGTGAAAAAGATAGACAACATTAAGTACTGATGTGGAGCAAATTGAAATCTCACATGAGTGTAAATTGGCACAACTGCTTTGGAAACTAATCAGTAAAGACAAGTATATGCATACTTTATAATCCATGAATTATACTCCTCGGGTACACCAAACAGAAATGTGTACATATGTTTACCAAAAAGTAATAGGTACAAAAGTATAAAAGCAGCGGGAAAAAAACCTCAAATTCTAGAATAGGTGGATTTATGGTATATTCTATTCACAAAATGGAATATTCAATGAGAACTAATTACCCATAAGTATATGCAAAATTGGGAGTGAATCAAAAAAATAGAACAAGGGGAATGAAGGGGACATGGGAAAATAGAGTTATACTGTGGCAAGCTTTCTGAATTTTATGTGAAGTAGTACAATATTAAGTGTATGCTGATAAGTCAAGGATGCACACTGGAAAAAACAAGTGTTAGTGAGGATGTGAAGAAAAAGGAACCTCATGCACTGCTGGTGGGAATGCAAACTAGCACAGCCACTGTGGAAAACAGTATGGAGGTTCCTCAAAAAGTTAAAAATAGAGCTACCCTATGATCCAGTAATCACACCACTGGCTATTTATCCAAAGAATACAAAACACTCTTTCAAAGGCATACATGTACCCCCATGTTTGTTGCGGCATTATTTCATACTTATATGAAATAGCCAAACAACTATGGAAGCAGCCCAAGGGTCCACTGATAGACAAATGGATATTGAAGATGTGGCATATATACACAATGGAATATTACTCAGCCATAAAAAGAATGAAATATTGCCATTTGCAACGACATGGATGGATCTAGAGAGTATAATGCTAAGTGAAATAAGTCAGTCAGAGCAAGAAAAATACCATAGGATTTCACTCATATGTGGAATTTAAGAAACCAAACAAAAAAAGAGACAAACCAAACACCAGACTCTTAACTATAGAGAACAAACTGATGGTTATCAGAGGGGAGGCAGGTGGGGTGGTGGGTGAAATAAATGTTGGGGACTAAGGAGTACACTTATCATGATGAGCACTGAGTAATGTATTGAATTGTTGAATCACTATGTGTACACCTGAAACTAATATAACACTGTATGTTAATATATTGGAATTAAAATTAAAAACTTTATAAAAAAAAGATGCACATTGCAATCCTACAGCAACCACTGAAAATATAATGCAAAGAGGGTAAGTAAAAATGCCAGTAGAGGAATTTAAAAACAGATGCAGCAAATAGATAACAAATACCAAAATGGCAGACCTAAATCCAAACATATTAATAATTACACTAAATGTAAGTGGACAGCAGTGCCTGGGTGGCTCAGTCATTAAGTGTCTGTCTGCTTCGACTCAGGTCATGATCCCAGGGTCCTGGGATCGAGTCCCACATCGAGCTCCCTGCTCCGCAGGAAGCCTGCTCTCCCTCTCCCACTCCCCCTGCTTGTGTTCTCTCTCTCTCACTGTCTCTCTCTCTGTCAAAAAATAAAATCTTTTAAAAAAATTTTTAAAAATGTAAGTGGACCAAAAAAAAAAAAACCAAACACAAAGATTGTCAGAATGAGTTAGCAAGCAAGACCCAACTATATGCTGTGTACAAAAGATATACTTTAAGGGGCACCTGCGTGGCTCAGTCGGTTAAGCGTCTGCCTTTATTATGATCCCAAAGGTCCTGGGATCAAGTCCTGTTTCGGGTTCAGTGGGGAGTCTGCTTCTCCTTCTCCCTCTGCCCCTCCCCCCACTCGTGCACTCTCTCTTTCTCCCTTAAAATCTTTTTAAAAAAATGTACTTTAAAATACAGAGATAGGCTGAAAGTAGAAGGACAGAAAAGATATGCCATGTAAAGAGTAAGCATCAGAAGGCTAGAATAGCTATTTTAATATCAGCAAAACAGACTTCAAGACAAAAATTATTAGAACTAAAGAGGCATTTCATAAAGACAAAGGGTGACTATATCAGGAAGATGATAGTAGTGTCACATGAGCGAGTTATAGCTGTAAATGCATACATTAAAAAAGAAGAAAGATCTCATATCAGTAACCTAACTGTACACCTAAAGGAATTTTAAAAAGAGAAACTAAACCCAAAGCTGGTAGAAGGAATCGGGTACCTGGCTGGCTCAGTAGGTAGAGCATGCAGCTCCTATCTTGAGGTCATGAGTTTGAACCCCACATTGGGTATAAAGATTACTTTAAAAAAAAAAGTCCACAAAAATATATTAAAAGAATTAAAGAAAACAGATATAACTTAAAAAAAAGAAATGCTGGTGGAAGGAAATAATACAGACTGTGCGAGATAAATGAAACAGAGTATAGAAAATAAAATGGAGAAGGAACAAGATGGCAGAGGAGTAGGAGACCTAAATTTTGTCTGGTCCCAGGAATTCAGCTAGATGGTTATCAAACCATTCTGAACACCTACAAACTAAACAGGAGATTGAAGAAAAGAATAGCAGCAATTCTATGAACAGAAAAGCGACCACTTTCTGGAAGGTAGGACTTGCGGAGAAGTGAATCCAAGGTGATATTCAGGAGGATAGACGGCGGGGGAGGGGGCCTCTGTCGGCCGCTTCTGGCAAGTGATAGAGCAGCGGAGCACAAAATCAGAACTTTTAGAAGTATGCTCCACTGAGGGATGTTGCTCCAGTGGCAAAGTGGGGGGTGGAACCCTCGCTGGGACAGTGTGGTCTCAGGACCCTGGGGTCCCAGAAAGACCAGGGGTGCCTGAGTGCAGCAGAGCTCCCAGGTATCGGAGTGGGGAAGCCGGGTGCAGAGATGGAGCCGAGGAGTGGGCTCTCAGCTCGGGATTGCCATAAACTGTGATCCGCGGCACAGTCAGGCCACTGCTCTTCCAGCAGGGACCCAACAAGCGGCAGAGCTGGGG